TGCCATTTCAGTCCTCTATTTAAGCTCAATTTGGTAAATCTTTTATTTTATGTAGCTGGTTGGATTTTTTGGATTTGGATTTACTTCGCAATAATCGTATTAACTGGGAATACTACGAACTCAGAATATAAGCCTATTTGTGATCACAGATTGAATTAGTACACAATGAATGCAATCCGTCCAAGTGGATGTAGACCAAAGTACCAAGATCTTAATTAATACATAAAATGCTATAAAGTGGTGTAGGATTTTCTTTTTTAGAACAAGTCCAATCGCCAATATTAAATTAATTTAGTGCAGCAGACAATGCTTTTAAAAGTGTAATATTTTTGCAGGTCGGCCTCATTGGTTTAAACACTGATAGATTGATAAATACGACCAACAACATTAAATGAATCGTTTTTATACTTTGATTATTAGACTTAGTCATTGACAATGCTTCATGGGATTGTAGTTATTTCCCTCATTTAAGCTTTAAGGTACACAATCTTGTCTCTTTTGTTTTCTTGTCTGATTTTTGTATACTTCTTTGCATCTAATCATAGTTTGTACATAGCTGATAATGCTTTAACAAAGACCTTTTCTTTTAAATCCCACATGGAAAAAAAAAACTTCTAAAACAGAGCTAAGTGGCACTAATGTGCTCTATACAGCACTTATACTTGGCACTTTTTTAATGAAAAAAGCAAAGCATACATTAAAACCATTCCATTAAAAGACCCAAGTTTGAATATGAATGGCAAAATCAAACTGTGTGCAAACAGATGCAGTGCAGCACAGTCAGGTTTCACATTACCATGACAACTGTAAGGACTGTTGAACCACCACAACATATCCAGTGTTAGCAAATGCATGGAAAATAAAAAATAAAAACAAAAAAATAACCCTTTCAGGTTCAACTTCTTGTCCTAGAAGTTTGTATACATCGTTCGCCCTTCAGGTCAAAAATGACCTGCCTTCACTAAACCTCTAAAACAAAGCAAACACATTTAATTTCAATCCTCGAATTTACTTTGCATTAAGAAACAACCTCAACTTACCCTATGAATTTTATGGTTTTCCCTAATCATTGTGGGCATATTTATGCGAAGTGTACATAAAGTGTATATATGTATGTGAAGGGTATATTTTCTACTGCTAAAAGTACCTGCGCAAGTGTAAAAAGTTTAGCAAGGCGGTATTCATCAAAGTTAAAGCAGCAGATTCCTATTGTGTGTGTGTTTTGGTTGTTTATGTGTTTTATGTAAACATGTTTTTTTAGGTGTGTACAGCCTTCATGAAAATAAAAAAAATCTAATTTTTTAATTTTTTCTAATGTTAGGATGTTAAAACTTTATTGTCCTTGACAGGAAATTTGTTATGGGCATCGCCATATTGCTGCAGGCATACACTAAAAACAAGCAATAAAAAAAATACTAAATACAACAGTTACAAAATTTATAATTCCAATTAAGATAGACTCTTGTTAAATAAACCCACTGAAACAGGTACAAAGGATTTCTCATAACAGTTTAACCTACACTTTGGGACTCTATATCTCCTACCAGAGGGAAGCAGTTCGTAATGTGGAAACAAAAAATGAGTTGGATCGCTTACAATCCTTTCCACCTGATTGAGGACACAGTTCTGATATAAAGCTTGAGGATCCAAAACTACTAAAGTACCAGTGTACCGCCAAAAAGGTTTTAAATAATTAAAATATACTAGTAGGTTTAAAAAGTAATTACACAAAAACGTCAGCAGCAACATGTGCCCGTGTTGCCGGAAGTGCAGCGCCACTGGAAGGTCAAATGAGGTCAAATGTTAGCGGGAAATTGAATTGTTTTCTAAAACATTTTTACAATTTCAGTTCTCTATACTTTTAACAACACTACTATACAGTTGTACAAATAAAGTGATTGCTAATTCTAAGCACACTACTAAATACAAATTTAGTTTTGATATATTTACAGTGGGAAATTTACAAAACATCTTCATGCACCATGATCTTCAAATATATTTTAATGATTTCTGGCATAAAATAAAAATTATAATTTGGACCTATACAATGTATTTTTGACTACTGACAAAAATTTACCCTGGCAATATTAAACTGGGTTTGTGGTTCAGGGTTACATCTGAAATGGCTCAAAGCAGAGTTGTTATGAATGCCTTAAATGTTTGAACAGAAACAACTGTCTTGTTGACTCAGTTCATCGGTTAACTTTGTTATGATGACATACTGTCTAAGTACTATAATATCTTTTGGATCCTGCTTTCACTTTATGTTCACTTAACAGAAGCCTTTATCTAAATGACAATAATAATAAAACCAGAGGTGTGCCAAGTTACAAGGCATTGAAAATCAACACAACAATTTGCAAACAAAAGATAGCTTGTAATATATATAATTATACGGCAATTACGTTACATAATTGGCAGAAATATGAAAAAAGAATGAGGATTTCAGCTAGGACTGGGTAATATGACTGTTGCTATTTTAAGCTGGATAATTATTTGAATGAAAGTGATTTATTTATATAACGATTTACTTTTCTTTTTAGATGTAATGACAATTTTATATAAAAATTTTGGAGATTTCACACTTGTAAAATTTCTGAATACAACAAAAAAGGAATAAACAAATATTACCATTTGAAGAAATGTTTTATTTCAATATAGTCTAAAACTGTGGAACCTTTAATCTGGATTAATCTAGTCTCCAGTGATCCTCCATAAATCACGCTAATATTATGATTACTACAATAAAATATAAAAAAAATGTAATAAAATCATTATAATTAATTCATTTGCGTTTATTTGGAGTCAGTACAATTTTGTAATGTTTTTGAACAAGGCATTTATTTGACAACAAATAAAGCAACAACAGCACTACTCTAAAAAAAAAAAAAAAAAAAAAAAATATATATATATATATACATATATATATATATATATATATATATATATATATATATATATATATATATATATATATATATATATATATATATATATTTATTACAATTTAAAGCAAGGATTTTAACCGTGTAAAATGTAATTCATTCCAATTATGACAAAGCTGAATTTCCAGCACTCTTCAGTGTCACATGATCCATCAAAAATTATTTTAAAATGCTAATTAATATAAGAAAATGTAAATTAATCATTAATTAATTAATCATTAATTAAAAATTAATCATCTTAATCATTATTATTATTATTATTCATTCATTCATTTTCTTTTCGGCTTAGTTCCTTTATTAATCATGGGTCGTCAATGCGGAATGAACCACCAACTTATCCAGCATGTGTTTTACACAGCGGATGCCCTTTCAGCTGCAACCCATCTCTGGGAAACATCCATACAGATTCATTCTTTACGGACAATTTAGCCTAACCAATTCACCTGTACTGCATGTCTTTAAACTGTGGTAGAAACCGGAGCACCCAGAAGAAAACCCATGCGAACACAGAGAGAACATACTCCAAACCAAAGCAAACTCCACACAGAAACGCCAACTGACCCAGCAGAGGCTCGAACCAGCAATCTTCTTGCTGTGAGGCGACAGCACTATCTACTGCGTCACAACGTTGCCATTATTAGTATTAAGCAGTGCTTCCCACAGGTTTGAAATATACTTTTTTTATTTGAAATATACTTTAATTTTAAAATTAAAACACAACATTTACCCAAATCACATAAACAGTTAACTATATGCGACAAACAAAACATAATTTAATTTCCAACAATTATTGTACTTGTTATAAGACTGTTATACACGGTTCTTTTCAATGGGTTAAAGTAAAAAAAAAAAGACTTTTAAAATAAAAAAAGAAATCCACTGTCTCTTACTTTTATACTATTCAGGAGCAATATCTTGTGTGACAGGTAAAATCTGTTTCTCTCTATCTTTCAAGATCAAAGTAAACTTGTATGCCAAAACATTTTAGTTATGTATAGAGAAATAAATAAATGACAGAAAATTTCCTCCTGTACGAGTTTATAGTAAAGTTTTTCAGAGTAGTTTAGATTAAATAATAAATTATTTTATGTTTCTCTCTCTTCCAAGCGAAAGTAAAAAGGTAACACAAAAAAGCATGCGATGAACAGCAGCTTCAAATTCTTTAAGTCCCAAAAATGCGCAACTCCATGGGTATACAGAGCGCGTGAGATTGTCTGTGGGAGTGTTTACAGGTCTTTCACAGACAAAACAAAACGGGTAAATGAGATAAGATTTTCCACTAGTTAATTGATCGCGGATGTTTGGTTAAATTGGGTGGATACAAAAAAAAAAGTGTAAAAGGATGATAATAATAGTAAAAAATTAATAAAAAAGTATCACTACATATAAATATATAGTCTGTGTGTGGAGAACACTGTATAAGAATTATTGAAAACAATCTTATAATATAGTTATAAGATTTATTCTTTTTTATTTTTTTTTTACATTAAACTGCTAAAAGCAAATGTTAAAATGTCTTTGATTAATAATTTAATGCATCTTTATTGAATAAAAGCATTATTTTTCTGTTGATCAATTGAATGCACTTTTTTTTTCCAATAAACTTCACTATCTTACTGATTAATAGCATCTATAAAAATTTCAATAAAAAATTTTTATAAAAAAACAATCAATTAAAAAAACAATCAATCGACAATTGCTCTGAATTGCTAAACTGAACAGCCAACTTCATGATATGCGTATTGGATTTTTGCCTCAGCACACGTGAGGCCGCATGTGTGATACGTGACAAAAACAAGAGTGACATAACATTTAGTCATGCCACCACTACTTGCATTAAATAGCTTTCTACAGGAAGAGCAACATTATTTTGAAAACAGCTCAGCTATTTGCAACCTTAAGAATGCATTCCAGTTCATACCATCACAGCAAGTTACTCCATAACACTGGACGATTATGTAAACATTACCTCCAATAATAAGCAATGGTTTCAAATATTGCCAGTTCAGGCTATTTGAATGTAGCTTTAAGCTTCTGCATGATCTGAGGACTTACTTTGTCTAGGGCTCCAAAGGGATGTTCATTGAAGGGGACACTATGGCTGTGGTCCACTGGGTTTATGAGGCGGGAGAGATGTCAAAGAGAGGGGGCTACGGCGCCACACCCTCCCTGTTATGCAGAACCATCCCACCGGGGGGAGGCAGCACTAAATGGATGACCAATGGCAACTGTGGAAGAAGAAGTTGAAGAAAGTATTTTGTTAGAATATGACATCTATATAAACATGACAATACGCAAAACATAATTGTTGTTAGTCCTGCAGCACATTTATTATCGTGTTCCAGCAAGACAGAAATTAATCTTTAAAAAGATTCCAGTAACTGAAATACAACCCCAAATTAGAAGATGGGACAGTATGGAAAAAGCAAATAAAAAAATGAACATAGTGACTTCTAAATTTACTTAGACCTGTATTTTATTGCAGACACTACAACAAACATTATTTACTGTAATTAGTTCCTCATTATTTTTTTTTTTTACAGTTTTTCAAAATAAACAGGTGATCCAATATTGTTCTTACAGCACATTTCAGTTGGAACAGTAAAGCATTTACCAGTCTGTAATGTTGCCATTCCTTTTTACAACATTTAAAATATGTTTAGGGACTGAAGACACCAAGTGATGAAGTGATTCAGGTGTAATTCTGTCTCATTTTTCCTGCAAACAAGTCTTAAGGTGGGCTGCAGTACAGAGACTTCGTTGTGTTTTAAAAATTGCCACAGATTCTCTATTGAAGACAAGTCAGGACAGCAGGCAGGCCAGTCAAGTGCCTGTATCCTCTTCTGCCGCAGCCAGGACTTTGTAATGTGTGCAGATTGTGGTTCTGCATTGTCTTAATATATGCATGGGCGTCCCTGTAAAATGGGTGTGAAAAATACTGTGATTGGAGATCAAAGCAGTTCAGCAAAGGCTTGCGCCGTTGTCCTTTATGCACTGAAATTCCTCCAGATTCCTTTTAATGAGGTTATGCACTGTTGAAGGTGAATATGCAAATGTCTTCCAATATTTCTGAGGAACATCGCTTTTTTAACATTTCAATAATTTTGGGTAACTGGCAAACCATCTTTGCTCCTAAAGGACTAGACCCTTCTTGGATGCTGCTTTTGTACCAAATCATAATTACAATCACCTGTTGACATCACCTGTTTAAAATGACATCATTATTTAACCTATTTGTATGATTACTAGCCCTAAAATGCTCCTGTTTCAACTTTTCTTGGTATGTGTCTGAATGACCAGAAAGAATGTATGTTTACATATGAAATGAAGTTGACCAGACTAAACATAAATAATTAAAGTTAAATATTCTTATTAAAGTTAAAGTTAAAGTCCTATTAAAGTTAAAGTTAAATATTCTGTGTTTATATTTTCTGCAATGAAATACGAGTCAAAGTAAATTGGGAAAACACAATATTCTTTTTTTATTTGCATTTTCCATACTGTCCCAACTTTTTTTGATTTGGGGTTGTATAAAAATGAGATCACTTAAAATAAAACTAAAAATTAAATGTTTTACATAAAAAATAAAAAAAAAAATAATAATAATAATAAACAGGCCATTTGAAGTGATGCCTTTGCAACTAAATGCAAAAAGCCTCCAAATAAAAAAAGAATTTGATATTTAAAATGAGATCATAAAAAAACTTAAAATATGTTCATATAATAAAGAAATGAAAAGAACAAATGCTGTTTGAATTAATGCCTCTAACAAAAATATTCGTACACTGTAAAAATTGCAGGGTTCCACACAATTGTCCCAACACAAATCGATTAAGCTAACTTAACAAGTGGATTGAACATAAAACAATTAAGTTATTCCAAAAAAAAAAAAATCTTAAGAAATGTGTTGTTTCAGCTCATTTCAAATGAGTAGTTTGAACAAGCAACAAAATCATTTTGGAGTAATATTAATATATAAATTATTTCTAAATAACACTAGTACAGTTGTTAGTATATTAGATAAGATCCAATTAAAATAATATATTTGTTTGATTATTATTTACAATTTATTGTTACCTTATGTAAAATGTTTACTATTTTCTTGTAATATAAACATTAAGGGGCTGCACGGTGGCGCAGTGGGTAGCACTGTCGCCTCACAGCAAGAAGATCACTGGTTTGAGCTTCGGCTGTTGTTCTCCCCGTATTCGCGTTCGCGTTTTCCCCCACAAGTCCAAAGACATGCGCTATAGATGAATTGGGTAGGCTTAATTGTCCGTAGTGTATGTGTGTGAATGAGTGTGTATGGATGTTTCCCAGTGATAGGTTGTGGCTGGGAGGGCATCCGCTGCGTAAAACTCATGCTGGATAAGTTGGCGGTTCATTCCGCTGTGGCGACCCCAGATTAATAAAGGGACAAAGCCAAAAAGAAAATGAATGAATGAATAAACATTAAACTATAAATCACTTAACTGTATTTTACTATTATTAATTACTTATACAATTATAATGAATTATTAGTTTGCATCTAATTTAACTAATTTAAACGATTCTATTGAAATAAAGTGAACTAAACTTCTTGCTATTTATCTGCAACTAATCTGAAGAGGTAAAAGGAAGTTATATAACGGCGAGCATACATGCCAGTCATGCTATCAGTGAATGTGAAAATGACACAAAAACCAAAGTCACAGATACTAGTGTGTGCAAAATCTTTTTTTGTTTCATCGCCATAGCAACAGTAAGGTCTGTTACACTACATCTAGTTATAAGCCACATGAATAAAGCCTACCCAGAGCTGCACATCTTCACAGACTGCAACTTCATGGAGGACCTTGATGCTTAAAAAGTGGCCAAACATTTGCTGCCCATGAACAAAAAACTATGGCAGATGAATCCAATCTACGCCATTCATTGCTATTATACATCGGCAGCAATGGAAGTGAATATCCTTTAAAACACTTTTAAGCTTTAGTGCCACAGGCAAAAACTAAATGGATTTTAGATCTGATGTTTTCAAAGAAGTCTGTGCATGTTTAAAAGAAAAAAAAATGTATTGAACTGTACAGAGTGTACGAAAATCGAAAAAGAAACTTTTAAATGCTGGAGGTCATACACTGCAAAAAATGCAGGGTTCAACACAATTCCTTCCTGCTGTCCCAACATAAATTGATTAAGTTAACAATCATTTTTACAAATTTAGTTGGATTAAACATAAAACTGTTAAGTTGTCCCCCAAAAAAAACTAAGAATTGTGTTGTGTCAACTCATTTCAGGGAGTTGAAATTTACTTTTTTTACTTGGTAGCACCCAACTTCAGGTGCACCAGCAAAACTTTAGAAGCACCCACAAAAAAACGACTGAGCTCTAGGGCTGCACGATTAATCGAAAAAAAGATCACAATCTCGATTCGACCCCCCACACGATCTTAATTCAGCATATCGACGATTTAGCCATGTATATTTTCATGATTAGGAGAGAAGCCTTAAGGCAGTCGCACAAGTCTTCACATTGTTTTGTATTTATTGCTCAGCAACAGGAACACCTCCGAATAGTCTAGTCCAGGGCTGCCCAAACTCGGTCCTGGAGGGCCGGTGTCCTGCATATTTTAGCTGTTACCCCAATTAAACACACTTGAAACAGCTAATCAAGCTCTTTCTATGTATACTAGAAAGCTCCAGGCAGTTGTGTTGAAGAAAGTTGGAGCTAAACTATATGCAGGACAGTCTGGACACCCTTGGTCTAGTCTATATAATGAAATGTGACTGACTTACTTGATCTAGAGCTCTTGAAGGATGTTCATTGAGGAGATCACTATGGCTGTGGTCTACTGGGTTTACAGGATGGGACCTGGAGGACAGAGAGGGAGGTTAGAGAACCATACCCTCCCTGTCATGCAGAACCATCCCACTAGGGGAGGGAGGAAGGTAAAGGGCGCTCAATCCAACCTGTAGTTTAAGAACAAGAAAAAAACAGTGTTGTCAAGTTGAAACAATCTAACGACCAACTTTTGTACATCACTTTAAATGTGAGCACCTCGTATGTTACGTTTAGGCAACATTGATGTTCTAAGAAGTGTTCTTTTCGTTAGAGTTTACATATAGTAGACTATTAAAAAACGAAAACAACATTGCCCAAACAATCCCCTTTCATGCAGACTTAGGCTGAGCCGATAAACGATATCATATCGAATCACCAAAAACGATTATAAGCTCTGGTCATTTTTACTTGATACTGATCTAAGAGTCAATCACACAGCAGAAATTGCAGCTACAAGAATCTATAATTGTGTTGATATTAGACATGCACTGATTTCTTGGCTGCCAAAACTAGGCTATGCTGCGTCGAGCCAATTCGAATTATATTCTAGATCAGACTTTTTTTCGTTAACACCAAGGATGTCCACTGTCCCCACTGCTTTTTACTATAGTGATTGAACTTTTCTCGTTAGCTTAAAAAAAACAACCAAATTGTATGAATTAATTCAAAGTAGGGATGCTCCGATCAAACAAATTTAATGACTCGATTGGTAATAGTCAATCTGGCCGATCTCATGAACCGATCGTAAGTGTTTGTTTACAAGTAGAGGAAGACGCACGTGAGCACCCGGGTAAATAAACAGCTGCACAACAGCAACACATAAGAAGGTAAATAGTGTGTGGGGTGTGAGCAATCGATGCGCACGCTTCACAGCAGCTAAAATATATACACATGTGGTGTGACCTCTGTTTTTACAGTCTATTGGCACGTCGGTCTCTTTGATGCAAGCGCACCCATACCCAGTGTTTTGAGCAGCTGTGGAACGATCGCCCCTATCTAGTGTGTCTCATCCAATCGTATGACCTCTCCCGCAAGCTCTGTAAGTCTCCTGCAAAATCATACCGGCTCTGGGATGTCCGCAAATCAGATAAAATAATGTTACACCAGAAATCATAGTGATGAGTGAATGAGGAAGAAAACAGATCGCAAGAGGCATGGTGATGTTCTATGCATTACATTTGTTAGGTTAAATGAATAGCGCAGTAAAGATATATCGTGAGTGCAAATCTCCCTCTCTCAAGGAGCTGCTGAGAGGCAGTCCGGATCTGCTGTCAATAGCTGGAGATGAGCTAAATATTTGAATGACCTTGCATGTATTTAAGCCGTTTTACATAAATTAGAACTGAAAATTCTGTTTTTGACAATATTGCAAGTTCACTACAGCCTGACTGAAAATATTAGATGAAAATTATATTTTTAACATGAATATTTAATAATATAACTTCTTCTTATTTATTAATTGCAGTAAACAGTAGTTTATTGGCCTATTTCCTTTTATTAAAGTAGTAATGGATTATTATGCATGTATTTTAACTTCTTATGCATCAAATATGAGCCTCAAACTTTTTTTTGATTGAAACATGTTGAATTCTTCTTTTATCATTTGCAACGTTTCTTAATTGCTTTGTCTTACCATTTTTTTTTAATCTATGCTACGCTACCTTTTTTTTTTTTTAAGCTGCTTCGGATCATGACATGTTCACACCTAAATGGTAATGTGTTTAGGGGATTATATGCAACATCATTAATTTATTCTTTTGGGTAAGGTGAGATCTCCTCATAAGTATCATACTTAGAGTGAAAATGTGCTTTATGCGTTATAAAGCTGAAAGTATCACAATCTCACAAACTCTGTATCTGCTGCAAAAATCGTATATGCTAATGAACTTTTCCTTTACATTTGCGACCCATATCCAGTTGCACTTTTTGATTGTTCTTTTTTTGCTAAAGATTTAAATAATGGTAATGAGTGTGCAAAATACAACATCAAAAGAAGAAGTGTAATTAAATTGTAGCTATTGTTAATTTGTAAATTCTCTTTAAAAGTAGTTCAATTAATTAGGTCAAACTATTTCTTTAAAATTTTCGAATTTCAAGCTAAATATCAAAATCCCTCACTTTTCCATTAAGCTGAATTGCCAATATGAATAGAAAAACAGGCAGTGTTGTGCTGAGGGGTACCTCAATTCCACAATTTAATGCAAAACTCAAGCAAATGGTGAAAATTTAGAGAAGCTTTCAATATACTAATTTTCCAAATAGATTTGGATAGTGTTCAACTTCGTTCCATCCATCTGCATTGTTTTATATTAAATAACATTGTATTCAAAAAGTGCTCATGCAGTGTGTGATACCACGAGAGTTGTTACAGACATAGCACGGCGCTGCACTTCTGCTTAGGTGTGTGCGACCCAATGGTTCTTGAGATCCAAAAAAATCAAAATAAAGAAGGACTTAGATCTGTAAATTTCTTTATATCTTCAATCAACGTAAGAAATGTTTTTTATAAACATTTAAGAAATGCCAGACCTTTATTGAAGAAATAGAGCTGAAATGGACAGAGGTGACCATTTTCCAAAATTTTAGGCTGAAATAATCAGGGAAAAAAATTAGCATTGGGAAGACAAAATAAACAGCAACATACAGTATTTTAAAAGTATCTGACTGCTGGTTAACAATTGGGAAAGAAATAAAAATGGCAGTGGAAAATAGTGATGACAATAGGCAAAACGTGAAACAACATGATATAAAAACATGAAACAGAAAATGATATATTTTGATAAATGTTAAGTAAATATGACAAATAAAAAAAATCCCTGATACTGAATGACTTGTCCAAAATAAAAATAAAAAACATGCATTGCTACACTAGAAAACTTTAGAAGTTTTTTTGCCTTTTTACTTGCAAATTTTGCTGCGACTTCATCATCATCACAAATCATTTTCTTGTTGTTATGATATTTAGCTTTCTCTCACTTTCAAGCTTTTCCACAAAGTTTCATGAAAAATCAAGAAGCTATTAAATGAGGAGAGAACTAATCTATTTTGAAACAAGCTTCGGGCAAGCAGCTGATCTTTAGTGAGCTGTGATCAAATCCAAGGATTTTATATAGCGAGAAAATGAAATCAAAAACTTCCTGTTGTGCTAATTAAGAATATTTTACTTCTCCTCAACATATGCGAGGTGAAGTAAAATGTTCTCAACCAAGGCCAGATAAAACTGATGCCATGAAGCTTCAAATGGACATTTGCTTTATACCAGAACCATACCAACAATATTAATTCTGTAGCGGTATTTGAAGTTCAAGATATCAATTTAAGTGCTAATCAAACCACTTATATATCTTTATGTATCTCATATCTTTTTAAAGGTCCCATGAAATTAAAATAAGGTTTATTAGATGTTAGTATCCGTTTGTTTAAAGGATATCTATAATCTAGTGTGCTCCAAAACAGTGACAAAATGACAACAACTATAGTCAGAACATGTTGATAATATGTTCTGTCTGCAAGGTCTTCTTACATAGTTCAGTTTCAGCATCTGCAGGTCACAATTAGGGCTGGGCTGATAAACGATATCGCATGGAATTGCGATAAAATTTATGTCGATAATCATGATAAGCTCTGGACATTTTTACTCGATATTGATCCTAAGTGCCAATTACACATGAGAAATATGCAACAACAGGAATCTATAATTGTGTTGATATAACTTTTGGCCGCTGAAAATTATAAGCCGAACATGGGTCATGCTGCGTCACCCAGTATTGTTTAGTACGCTTGTTTCACTTTCCCACCAGCGGTGACCACCTTCAGTCATGGCAGGGATACTCTTAAAAGTAAAAGTATTAAAAAAAATTATAAAAATATATTATTTATATTATATTATTTATATATATTATATTATTATAGTTATTGTTCAATATAGAAAAGAATTATAAAGATAGCATTTTTGCCATATCGCCCAGCTCTAGTCACAACATAGTGTGAAGTTAAGTTGCTCCGAGAAAAAATCAAATGCTGAAACTAAAAGATTGATGACAGAACTATTGCTATTGTATATTAAACTGTATTTAAATGTTATTTATAATATACGTATAATTAATAATACACCCAAGATACATTTTCACTCATGTTTTAGTTTTTACAGTTGAGCTGTTTTAACAAATTTAAAAACAAATAAAAAAACATTTTTGCAATAAATGATACTTTTTAAAAATTATAGTGCGGTTGTAAAATATATAATTTAAACAACGTAAAAATTATTGATTCAATTGATAAAAAGCTGAATTCATCAATTTAAATAGTCATTTTATTGACAATTCTGTATTAAATCTAAAAATTCGAAATACAGTGGTCTCTCGCTATAACGCGGTTCACTTTTTGCTTTCACAGATTTTTTTTGTGCACTTTGACATGCTTTTTTCCTACAGCGCATTGTGTTCTGCATCCTGACCTGCTGTAGACCATTATCAATCAATCTCCTCAGTGCCATTTCTCTTGTACAGTACAGAATGCAATCAGCTTGCCAAATTTACATAAATCTCGACCGCTAGTAGTGTGACTCTGAAGTGCTGTACTGTATGTTTGCAAGTTTTCTCCTCACAATGTCAACGAAACGTTCTGCACTGTCAAAGGCACCAGCAGTAGCACCCAAAAGGTAGAGGAGGATGCTAACCATAACTTCTGGGCATGCTAAAGGAAGGTAAAAGTTACACGCTATTAAGGAATAAATACATGAAGATCAAATGGTTTTGATCTTTGGTTTCATTCTATTGACCTTATTCTTCAATGCGGAAGTGCACCTGTTTTCGCGATTGTTTTAGAACTTTCAATTCAGTCGCCTATGAGAGAAATGACTAGGGATAATGAACAGCAGAAAACGGTCAAACTACTTGCTCTACAAACAACTGTTTGCATGACTACTACACAGGGAAAGAAGAATAATATCATAAGAAAATATCAGTTTGAAACATCAAGCAGCAGAACAAGCTGTTTTTATGTCTAAAAATTAATGGAAGTGAATGAGGCCGGTAGTCTTAAACCAAAAAGATTCAAATGGCTGTGCCCTCTCGTACGCAAAGAATAAGGTGAACAATACTGGACTTATTTCTCTACCATGGTTTGA